GCATGTGTCTGATCCATCTGCATTTATTCTGAATATCATTTGGACAATGGGTTCTCGGTTTGTTATTTACCTACCAGAGTTCCTTGTTGCTCATTCCTTCTGGTAGGTTATCGCAATCTTTAGTATGGAGCGAAGGCATCTGTTGATAAACCCCGTACCAGGCTGTTGAAAAAGTTTTTGGTCACTTATCCATTGTCTAAGCATATAGAAGTACTGACTTGACATTAATGACAAAAAACCGAACCTTGTTACTTATGCTAAGTGAGGCTGATTTTGACAATCAGAACTATAATACAGTGAAACTAACGATCTCAGTATCTCTCTCCGAGTTTTAGACAATTAATTATCCGGTTAGATTTCTACAGTCCAAATCAAGTTTAAGACTACTTGCATGGTAAACAGAGTGTGCTGTTTTAAATCTTACCATTGTTATTTAGGTGTAAGGAATTCTTTAGCAGAGTGGTTTGCCTTCAAACAGCGTACCTTTAACTGATTCCTATTGTGTATTAATTAAGCAGCATCAAAGTGGTACTGTTAAATATTCTTCGTATTTGACGGTTTGTTAGATAGTGGCGTGTGTAAAATCGGTTCGTGTGACTGAATATTTATTCGACATAAGGAGTCGTTCATTATATTTTGTTATTAGACCGGAGAATTATATCACGTATGACGCTTTATAGTCAAAATCTTCAGCAAATGTATATTTAGACAGATGTAAATGAACGTAAACGTTGAACGTTGGTTCGTTGACCTTGGTCGCCATTGACAGGCAAATCAAAGGCGCGAATGATTCAATCGTGGACAAAATGGAAGAAGACGAAAGAATACGAAAAAAATTACAATACATTCCTTGTAAAACATATGTTTACAGACTTTGAATGAAATATCGAATTTAACTGCCGAATAAAAAAACAATTTTTTATTGGTCCTTGTGTTTTCGAGTTAAAGTCGATAATCGTACCTAGTAATTATCGATTTGGAGCGTCTTCACAAATAATAGGAACTTAGGGTTAAGAACCTTGACAACAAATAACTCTAAATATCATGTCAAGTGGCAGCTACTTCTCGAATTTTCAGTCACTCTTAATTTTATCAGTCACTGAATAAGTTTATAGTCCTTAATAATGAAAATACTAAGTAGACTGAACCGTTAATTTTGTCACCTAAAGAAAGTGTATAAACTGTTGGTTTTACTGAGAGTTCAATTAGTCCTGGGGCATACTAATGGACTGAATTTAAGAGTACTTCTCTCCAGCTATGTGGGACTCCTGTAGTAAACAGGCAGAAAAAGATATTGTTTTACATATGTTATTAATTCATTTTGACAACTCATACAGCACAGCTCTTCATGCAGCACAATAGCTGATAAATTTATCCATGTATTCTAGTCTATTTCACACTTTTATATTTTACTTAAATTGTAACAGTTGTTCCTGAATTGACTTCTTTTGATGTTTCCTGATGAAAATAATTGGGTAACATTTGATCAAGATCGACTTTAAGCAGAAGTGAACAAACAAACAATACATTTTGTTTCATTTTTAAACTCTATATGATTGAGAGTATGAAGTTTGTCGTCCATCGCAATGGGAACGTTAAAGGTCACATGAGAAACACAAAACACCTTCACCACAGGAAAGTGTACTTTAAGAATGAATAAATGACAACAGTGAGAATTTAGTTTTTTTATCTATTTACATTCCGAGGCTCGAAACTTTAACTTTTGAAGGTACGGCTGTTAGTTCCACGCCCAACCAGCTAGGCGAGGCTTGGGAATGCGTCGGCCGGGGATCAAACCTCGGAGCACATGCATGGTCGGCTACCACCATCAACGCGTGAATCTAGTAATTTAGTTATATTATTAGCTTTACTTTAGTTTACATCATGTGTCATGACTAGTGTCTGAATTCAATAATTTTCTTTCATAATACACTGAAGATTTCCATTAAAAACTTAAAAGACTGAATAATGAACAAAGAATATTCTTTTTGATAAAGTTTTCGTCAGGTTGTGCATTCATATGAAAGTAATAATTAAAGGAATATTGTGATTAAGAACATCAAAGCTTTAAATTACATCAAATCAGTAGTATTGGTGGATTATATTTCAAAAGCGAAAGTCAGATAAAACATACACTAATATAACACTAAACTGAATATCAGACAATTTAAGGTAACACAGAAATTGTGAATTTGTAGGTTCGACAGCAGTCCAGAGGACCTATAGCGGCTGGACCTTCTTCCTTTGCACGCAGAACTCCGGTTATTTTGCAATGGTCTCTGCTGTTTGGAGTGTTCGGTGTCTAGAGGCCTTAGGTAGTTATTTCAGTACTCGACAGAGGATTACTCTTCTTTGTGGCCTGTTTATACAAGGTGATGTGGTGCAGAATTGTTAACGGTTTCAAGAACACCATTATTATTTAACCACAGTGGTTGGCTTTCCCAAGAACGAAAAATTAGGTTCCTAGAGCAGCGGCAAGTATTACTGGTCCCACAAAGGTAGCTGAACTGATGGACACTATTAGAGGTTACTGGCCTATGAACACTCTCGGAATCACAGTCAGTTGTGTGGAAAATATAACATTCACCTTTCGGGTATTACACTTCCTCTGGATAGATTCTCTCAACGCGTTGGCTATTATTCCATTTGGTACATCATCTGTGAATTGCTTTTTATAATAATATTCCTTTATTGTGGTGGTGTGGTACAGACAATGTATATATATATATATATATAGCACTACATGCAGTTACACACAACCACACAATACGATGGGATAGGATGATAGTTTTAAAATCTAATGTCACAGGGTATAGGGAGAGATTAATAACAGAAGCTTTTTTTATCGAATCAACTGCAAATACATGTAATAGGAATGATTCATCACCTGTCCCAGATATCTGAAAAATTCTACTACCCCCACGACAAATAGGAGAAAACAAAGAAAGCTATAAAACTCAAGTTTCAAAGTCGTGTGATTACAATTGATATGATTATGAACAATAAATTTTGTTCGAAAAGTCATCCAGTAAATAATACTGTTTCACTGTGTGATGCATCTAATAAACAAACTAATATGGAATATAGCGGTTCGATTAATGAAAAATATACCTTGGCTTCCGTATCTTGCCTTCTCTTTTTACAATATGAATGTAGAACCTGATGAAAAGTTTATCAAAAAGAATATTCTTAGTCCATTAATCAGTCTTTTATAATACAGAAAACTACGTCGTTTCATGCTTTGTCAAATGCAACGCACAAATTCATAGATTACAGGAAGACTTTTGTAGAAGTCAAGGATGAGAATAGTTGACTTTCAAAAAATTACTTTTGTTTATCGCCTGATGAAGTCAAATATTCAACGATAACATCCTACACTCATCCTTTTCGTCTTTCATAACTTATTTAAATTGACTTGTTTTAAAATATGTTGATAATTATTAGAATAAATGAGATAAATTCTGTCATTTGTCTCTGCATCTTTATTATACAATTCACTACTAGAATCTTTTATTAAATCATTCAGATGTCACGTTTACCTTCAGTCTAATTTACATCAATGAGGAGAGTTTTGTGATATTTGAATACTAGGATGAATGAACTAACTGTTTATACCCATTACAAAAAGATATGAAGGAGATAAAAACAAATACGCCTTTGCAAAAATATATAATTATTATTATTCCCTAGGGCTCCGAGTGGAACATAGGCCCTCAACATCACATCTGCACTTCTTCCTGTTTTCTGTCGTCTTCTTCATCTTAGTCCACGATTTACCATAGTCTCATCTCCTTCTTGCACGATGTCCTCCATTTTACCCTCCTACCGACGACCTGCTCGCAGATTCCCATTGAGATTCCACTCGAGCACTGACTGCATTCCATTCGACGTCGTCCTCAGCGTATGTCATGTCCATTTCCGTTTTCCCTTACATATTTTTTGAGCTCTTGGTTAGTTTGTTACCAGAGTTTCTTGTTGCTAATTCCTTCTGGCCTGCCGTTTGATCTTCAGTACGGAGCCAGCGAAAGCAGCTGTTGATAAAAGTCTGTAGCTTTTCATGCCTAGAACGCCAAGTTTCTGATCCGTAAAGAAGAACTATGCAAAAATGCGAAGTATCTTATGACAGATGGTAGTTTTACATTAGATCGGAATCAAATTTTCGAATACATTTCGAAGTATTCGCCTCTTTGAATTCAATCCCTATATTAATTTGATCGTTTTCAAGCTCGCACAAGCATCATTAGGAACACTTAAGCTGTTGTTTTATAACTGAAGACGAATTCATTCGTCAAGTCGGAGTATTACGTATTTACTGAGAAATGTTTGATAACAAATTACTATTTACAAATTATTACACTACATAAGCAAAAATCACTTTTTTTAGCTGTTGCGATTTCAATTTCCCTGTGTATTTACGTAGTGCATTTTTAGTGCGAAGTAGGTAAAAAGGGATTAGCATATGAAGTTTCATGAGAACAGTGTGGTTGTCTATTTTTCTCCCTTGGTGTTAATTCGACACAGTATGTCACTAAGTCACTCAGATAAGCAATTTATAATACCGTTTTATGCCATTTATTGTTGTGTCTTTGGTAGTAACAATGATTTACTTAAATATCCTTGAGTAACCTAGTTGATGTGATAACATATAATATTGATAACATAATAATATAATATAATACTTCTTTTATATATTTCTACAAGGTCTTTCTAAATAGGAGGGCAATAATCTCTTATACATCTACACTTAATAATAACAGTAAAAAAAAATGTAAACAAAACTTTTTATAGCGAAATAATAATGCGTTTGTTTTTGTTCTCAGTGAATAATATCAAATTTTTCTTATTTGGACTTGATAACAAATATCTTAGCTGCCTTATTTTAACCAACCAAAATTTAAGGAAATCATGGACCAATGGGTTTCACCAACTTGTCTTGTTGTGTGATTCGTTAATAGCACAATAATGAATATTACAACCTCAAAAACCTCAAAGAGGAGGTGTGTAGAGTTAAAATAAATACATTATGAAAAGTGAATAGATATCCATTATTGTATTAAATATTTACACCTAAATTGAATTAGCATTTTTCAAGTAAGTTAAAAAGTTTATGTAAATGTATGTTGATTCTTTCTTAGTATTCATCCATTTAAGTAATATCTTATATTTTCCAGAGTTGATTTGTAAGGATTAGATTTGTTTTTACGAGTTGATCATGGATTGATATCAGTTAGAGAATCATTGAAGACTAGGGAGTACTGAACAGCTAGTTTGGGAATCATCGGTAGTGCGCACCCACCACCAGGGTTCTAACCCAGGACCTTCTGGTTACAAGGCAAGCTGGCTCGTATACCATTCAGCCACTGGGGCCCGATTCAATGGCCAGTCCATGAATTCTAACTTCTACCAATTCGTGATGTAGCGCGACACCAACCAGTGTCGTCGGTGGGACATCCATCCTCACACGTGACATCTGGATGGACCTCACTGGTCACGGCTTCGCACTAGAACTCGAGGAAACTCCGTCCTGTAGCAAGTCACCAACGAGCATCAGATTTTATCGGCACACCGTTGAATTCATCTGTTAACCCTAAGAATTTAAGAAGGAAGGTTTTTCATTTAACAGTTAAAAACGGTAGTATAGTTTAGTAAAATGTAGAAAAAGATTTTGAAGAGTTGATGCTAAAATAATGAAGAGTAGAATTTCGGACACGATGGTAGAATATGATTTCGTATTGTATAAATTTATTTGACATAATACACGACGTTACAAACATAATTCATTGCTGACAATCATATCAAAGTTTATAGTCTTATTCCTTGTTGTTTTTATTGAAATTTCCCTTATATCCGTTATTAGGCATCGCATCATTCTGATTGCACGTGTTTGGCCATGATTTGATGAACTAAGGTTCAGTAAATAATCTCCCTCTCTCCAACCAACTACATTACTTTTCAATACTTTCACCTTGTCCCATCCTACACTGTAACTATATACTAGCAGGTGCATTGCAGTGTTCGAGATTGTTCCATAGATTGTTTAACTTAGTAGGGTCAGTCATTCTAGATATAGCTAGGTTCCTATGTTTCGATTATCGAATTGACCCCGATCTACTAGTTTGACCAATACAAATGGTATTTAGTAATTTATACTATTTTTTATCTCTGAGAGAAGTGGTTGGTTTATATGCCACCCTAATCTAGAAATCTATATTGATATGCTTATGAGCGATCAGTTTTGTTCGGAACGTCATCCACTAATTAATACTGTATCAGTGCATGTTATATCAGATAAACTTATCCAATATAAGCTCAAGTTAAAATGTTATTGGCACCATTAAAAGTTCAGAGAGATTTTAGTGTAAACAGTAAATCAGTGGCTTACATTATTCTTTGTGATTTTTGATTTAATTTAGTGAAGTATGAGTGTATACGGTACTCTTGTGTATGTATGACGCATTAATATGACAAATGTACGAAACTACTGTATTTAAAATGAAATTCAGAGGAAGTTAACAATGGAAGGTCGATCAATAGAACATTAGTCTAGTAATCCAGAGCATTAGGGATTCAACCATACTGTGTTTTGTGTATGCATGCAATCCACCGTTAGTACCCTTAGATCTTTATTAAATGACTTAATGAGGATAAACATTTCCCCCTTCCATTAATTATGCTTAGTCAGGGAACTTTTCAGCATGCAACTACTTTTTTCTGCTTATAGTTATGCTTTAATACTCAGTAGCGGGTATGAATGCTAATATTGAGTTATATTGAAGTTTTAATAACACATCAAACATTTTCAATGCAACCAGAATATCCATTTTTAGTGGAAACGTACTTGAAACATTTCCACTCCAAAAGATTCTCCTGGAATTATCTTGCTTACCTGTCAACAAGTATGACATCTGTTGCGGAGATGAAGCTAAATGAGTAGATAACCGCTGCATTTTAGTACTTATATAACAGCAGTAGTGTTTCTCAAAATTTGTTTAATTTTATGATGGCTTTTTCGGCACATTCTACTTCTCATAGTAATACTTAAGTATTCGAATAAATGTTGACAAATGTTCATACATCTATAGTTTATCTACATTTATTTTAATTGACGGTAGCTGATGATGAATCACTGTTGTTGTATTTTTTACCGTATTTCAAAGACTTTTAGTTTACTGAAGGTGTGAGTAATAGTTGATAGATGACATAAAACCTCTGAATATTCATCTTCTAGATTGTGTAAAAAGCTAAAGTTTTGAACTGGTAGAAGTTGGAATTAACGCACCGGCCATTGAATTGGGTTCCAGTGGCTTAATGGTCTACCAGCTCGCCTTGTAACCAGAAGGTCCTGGGTTCGAAGCCTGGTGGTGGTTGCACACTCCTGTAGAGTCCCAGACGAGGATGAAACAGCTGTCCAGTACTTCGCGTGAAATATTCTATTCGACTTTTGGAAAATTTATTTTTCTTCAATTTCACTTCACGCAAATTTCTTATACTTTGTAATTTATGTAATTAACAATTGCTTTTCACTTACATAAAACCTATACACCCTACTTAAAGTCTCTTAATACACAATTAATTAGTCACGAAATCATTATGAAAAAAGTAACTATTTACTTAATTTTTGGCTTAAGTGAGGCGTAAATCTCATTAATTTCCCATAAACGAAACAGTGAATTAACTGCATAGTTTGCTGGGTTTTACAGCATAGAACTCTTTCTATAATATTCCCTTACTGTTCAGCGAGTGCTAGACCACTTTGTTATTGACACCTTTTTTTCCTAACCTTTCAGATGCTTACAGGTTCAATAATATCCATGTAATTGGTTTATTTTTACTGCTGTCTTTTCTAATACTGATACAACATCGGTTAAAGGATCCTGTAGAGCCTTTAAAACAAAATAATTTAGTTTATCTAATACCCTGCCTGCGATGATTGTCAGGTGAAATGCATAGGTCAAACTAGTAGAACAGGGGCAGTAAGACTAGCTGAACACAAAAACTTAGCAAAATCTAGATTGGTTGATCCAAATAAGATAAGAAATCTAGAGAATAGTTCAGCTGTAGCACTACATGCAGTTACACACAACCACACAATAGGATGGGATAGGATGATAGTTTTAAAATCTAATGTCACAGGGTATAGGGAGAGATTAATAACAGAAGCTTTTTTTATCGAATCAACTGCAAATACATGTAATAGGAATGATTCATCACCTGTCCCAGATATCTGAAAAATTCTACTACCCCCACGACTAATAGGAGAAAACAAAGAAAACTATAAAACTCAAGTTTTGAAGTCATGTGTTTATAATTGATATGATTATGAACAATAAATTTTTTTCAAAATGTCATCCAGTAAATAATACTGTTTCACTGTGTGATACATCTAATAAACAAACTAATATGGAATTATTTACTACCACAGTGCCCAAGTTTTACACATATACTGATACAACATCCCTTTTGAAAATCAAAGTCAAAAAATACAAATGAATTGCGATTGTCTCTGCAGGGTGACATGTACCACTGAGAAGAATACTTTAAACACTAAAAATTTATAACAATTAGTTCCCTTTATCTTAAACACTAAATTCAAAACTGATAATATACGTCATTGTTATTAGTGGCAATTGGTTGATTCTCTGGCTGATTTTGTTATTGTAAACGTACTTTCTTACCATAAAATTCCTAATAGTTGTCTAAATAAGACTGCCTTCAAGTTGAGTAATTATAAGGAGAGAAGAAACGCACGACCGGAGTGTAACATCGCCTAAATTTTCTTTTTGAATCGGGAATCGTCTTTCGCGAACGCTTTGAATATTTTATGATGGAGGTGACGTTTTGTTTCATCTTAAGATCTGAAAACGTTTGATATATACATATATATTTTTTGATATAATGTAATAATTTGCTTTATTCCAAAACGGTACTTGTGATACAGAATGGAATTCTCAGCATTTTTACTACAGTATTGCATCCAGTTAGTACATTATCAATAAATAAATTTCTATATAGATTAAGGAAATCTCACTTCATTATGACAACAACATACTGACATGTCGGTAGCAAAGCCAAAGTTGAACAGTGCTTGAAGGTGTTAGAAAAGTAGGTGCTATCATATTTACTGGCATAAGCGGAAGAAAGAAACAAAGCAGCACAAAACGGAAAAAAAGAGAGAGAGAAAAGGAAAAGAAAGAAAACGTTGTACCTATAAATGATATGAGTTGGAAAGACGAAGTGCAGTTGTTCTACTGACTATTTAATAAGTTAAAGGTGTCACGCCTAATGCTTTCTTTATCGCACAGAACACAAGCTAAGTAGGGTATGGTTGAGTTTTTGTACTTGCTAGTGCGAGCATATAGTTTTCTATATGGGCTTCTGGTTTTACCTGATGAGATGCAAGGGGAGAGTTGTGAGTGAAGAGGGTGGTGTGAGTTAGATGAAGTGGATTTGGCCTATTTTTCACATGAGTCCATGTGCCTGTCGACCAGAATATTAACAAGCTGGTTAAGTGGCACGTTGCTTACCCTGCTGACAACCATTAACATCCTGCATAATAAGGTATAGGCTTTTTTCAGTAGCCCGGAAAAAACTAAGGGGGGACAATAGGGAATAATAGGCAAAATGCGAGAGTTTACGAATTGTAGGAGTAAGAGTTGGGTTATACCAGAATGTTTTAACTTCTTGATGTAGAAGGTAAGATGGAATATTTTCCTAGAAATCGTCAAGATTTGAGACGACCAGGAAAGATCAGCAGATAGAATGACGCCTAGGTATTTAATTTCCGACTTGGTTTCTATTTCAGTGCCATCTATGTTGCACACCGCGTGAGAGCCAACAATTTCGTTTAGGTCGGATTTATGCCTAAGGGTGAAATTGACTGTTTGGCATTTGAAGGGGTTTAAAGTAAGACCGTTTTCCTTGGACCACTGGCTGATTTCTGACAGAAAGCCATTTAGTTTAGAGCAGTCACTTTGACATTTGATAGGTAAAGATACAGTCAGGTCGTCAGCATATTTGACAAAATTAATGTCATTTGAAGATGGTAAGTCATGTAGAAATAAATAAAAGAGAAGTGGGGAGAGTACAGCACCTTGGGGGACACCAGCTTCTTTCTGAATGTTGTGAAAAGCCGGAGTGCCTTGTAAAGTTAGAAGTAACATTTATGATAAAAGTAAAGTGAAATGCAAACTGATTTTGTCAAATGGAAAGAAAGTACTATAAGAATGTGATGACTATGCATTTTTAAATATCCCAAACTAAATTCTCATAGACGAATTCCCCTTAATGAACTTTAACTAAGTTGTTTACACTAGGTACAACGGAATTTGAATGTTTGGTGTCATATTACTTATTTAGTGATTAATTATCGCATACAAAATGTATACACGGAAAAAAATTTGATTTTAGAATACTGAAGAACGTTTAGAACATCTTGTATATCCATCTTGTAAATCCTAATAAAGCTGTCAGGTATACATTATGTGTGAATTGCATGCATCATGGTTTTGTGTAGTACAGGTTGGACTGATATAATCCCATTCCTCTATTTCGCAAACATTTATACACCTTGAATATTGTCTCTCATTTGAGTCTATTTCATAACTAAATTAGTGAATAACTCTAACTGTTTGTAAAATAAAATTAGGTTTAACAGAATTGTCTGTTCTTTGCATACCTACATTTTTTATTCCGTCAAAGTCCCATGAGACACAGTCATTGAAATGTCGAATGAAAATGTTACAATTTTTATCCCCTAAAGATATGCAAACAAAAATTTATAATAAAAAATTAATATTCGTGAATAATAACATGAATAAAAATCATTTTTAGCTTTTTTTTAATCCATGTGCAAGTAGATAAATTAAGAAAACAAAACTGAAAATCCCCTGGAACTGTTTGAAGATGCTTGGACGGTTCTATATTTTTACGAGTTGATCACGGATTGATATCAGTTAGAGAACCATTGAAAAACAGCACAAAGTACTGGACATCTGTTTCATCCTAGTTTGGGGATCATCGGCAGTACACACCCACCACCAGGGTTCGAACCCAGGACCTTCGTAAATCATTCAGCCACTGGGACTCGATCCAGTGGCCAGCCCATGAATTCTAACTTCTACCAATTCGTGATGTAGCGCGACTATCAACCAATGTTGTCGGTGGGACATCCATCCTCACACGTGACATCTGGATGGACCTCACTGGTAACGACTTCTCACTAGAACTCGAGGAAACTCCATCCTGTAGCAAGTCACTTGCGAGCATCAGATTAATTTTCGATAGTTTGGTTTGTAAGGGTTAGTTTTGTTTTTATGAGTTGATCACGGATTGATATCAGTTAGAGAACCATTGAAAACCAGGGAGTACTGGACAGCTGTTTCATACATTTGTGTTTTCGAGTGTATACTGCTATACCATTGTCTTCATCTCATTTATTATACTCATTGCTTGTGTGTATGAAAAACACAAAATCAACACCTTCACCAGAAAGAGTTTGAATTAAAATTTCCCTCAACATTAACACCAGTCAAACGAATATATCTCATTTTAGTAACGCGATTGGACAAATTCAGTGTACAGTGTATTGAAATAGTATTACGAATGACAGAAATAAAAGTCTACTTTTAGGTCAATTCAAGATGGTCACAGAATTTCTAAAGATCCAACCCTAAAATACGATGATAAAAGATATTTAGATAATTCTTTTCTAACAAACTGGAATATCTGATGTGTTGAACAACAACAATGAAACACTAGAATGTTTTAAATGGCCTCAGTTCACGGATATTTCTCTCAGGAGGGACCGAACATTTGTTGAAACCTATGAGTACAGTAATCATGGATTGGTAGAAGTTAGAATTCATGAGCTGGCCATTGAGTTGGGCCCCAGTGGTTGAATGGTCCACGAGCCTGTCTTGTAACCGGAGGGTCCTGCGTTCGAGCTGTAGTGGGTGCGTACTACCGATGAGTCCCAAACTAGGATGAAAAAGCTGTCCAGTATTCCCCGCTGATTTTCAATAGTTATCTAAGTGATATCAATCAAGTCTCGTTACAATTTTTGAGCCTGAGAGGAAAAAAACAGATATTCTCTTGTATCATCATATTAAAACAAACTTTTCGCATTATTTAACAATGACCATCGATATACAGCTAATTTAAAAAGAGTATGGAGTAAATTTATTGTTTGTTTCTTTGACAAACATTTTTTTCAGCCATGTTATTTATTGTAAATGAAAATTACTTAAATTCTATTTTATTCTTTGTATATGAAAGTCAGTATTTCACATAGATGTTTATTCCTTCAATGAAGGAATTTTCTCAGTAAGTAGGAAAATATAATTCTCTACTTTTCTATAAATAAATAATGAATGAATGAATGAAAACTAAATGTATGTCCTCGTAAAATCCAAAACTTTTCCATAAATTTATCCTTCAGTTGACATGAACAATTTGTGCCTTTGTTTTGAAAAAATTCTTAAGAAAACATTCATTATCTTGCCCTAAGATAAGTTCGTGAAGAAAAAAATCAAAGGTATTTGTCCCAATTAGTAATTATAAGGCACAAGTTTAAGAAAGAAACTTTCAACTCTTTGACAAATTATTACCTTTAAACAATTGGCAAACGACGATATCCTAGAATGCGTGTAAAATACTTTTCCTGCATTCGACGAGCATTAAAAAGATGATGTAAGTTTTATACCTACTTTTTTTACTGAAAGAAATAGTAACATCACAGATGTACTGTTTATCCTATTTCGGTTGAGTAGAAAGAAGCAATTCTATCAAAAGTCAAGTAGTCATAAGGTGATATTTTAAATGTAAACCAAATTTAATGAAAAATAATTTGTAATTTTCAAACCAACTCGTGTATACTTTGATTAGACATTATTTAGTAACTAGCACCATGTGTTTAGTCCTTTACTTGGTGCAGTTTGAATTCTGTCAGTGAAGTTTGGAATGTGGCCACCATCCTAGATAGCTCACTACCACGGTGAACTCTGAACTGTCGTTACATTTTTGGTGGTAGTCAGCCGGAGACCTTGAACCTACTGATATAAGTATAAAACTTGGGCACTGTGGACCTTGGACCTACGTTTCGTGCTCAGTGGTAACGTCTAGGACTATAGCATTAGGTGACATGGATTCGAATCTTACTGGGGACATGTATTCCTTCAAGGTTTCCTTTCCACCTTTCTGAAGAGTGCCAACAAGCACGGAAACCTAAGTCCAGAGCTTCCTGCTGATTCCCTCCAATAACTCACATATATGTGTGCCTAACTGTTATTGATGCTTGTGTAGAAACACACTTAATATGAAAGAATTAAAGTAGGGTAACTGTTTTAATGCATTCGTGAAGACACTGTAAAATAGTGCTGGTGAATTTATGATTCTGACGCAAATTCGGTTGATTATTCTTTCAGGTATCCAACTCATCGAATAAATAATAGTACTCTAATAAAGTCTAGTTTTTTCATTTTGATGCAAAGTATTCAAAAAAAACACATACTTTTCAAGAATTCAATTACTAGGTGTAAAAGGAAATAATATACGTTTTTGAATACAATAAATTTATGATAATTGTAATCCATATTAAATGGTACACGTTCCCCAAGTGTGAAGAAAAGAGAAGCTCCAGAGAAAGCTGCCTCACTGTCGACTTTTGTTCGCAGCGGAAATATTTTACGCTTCACTGTGTATGTCGGATGGTTGCATGTGTCATGCAAGTTATTCATTGTAGTGGTATTGAATGAAGGGAGATAATAATTGTTGTCAAAATTTAAAAGTTTGATGAAGGATACAAAATAGACTGTACAAAGCATAAAAATCAACATTTATAGTAAAAGCATTTTGAGGGTAAAAAGGTGAACAAGGCAAGGAAAGTAAGGGGGAGTTATACATTTTTTGGTTATCAATGGAAAAGGTGAAACTCCAATGAAGGATAACATTTAAAAGCTAAAACCACAGTTTATAAAATAAAGTTGAATATATGTCTCAAGCCTCCCCCCCGATAGTTCTTGTTCCTTTTTGTGGATCGTTAGTAGAGGGAATAATCAAAATTTAACTATTCCATATCACAGTGTCGGTTTGCAGGGATTTGATTTCATTGGTTACAAGATTTCATCATGTGGTGATACCATTTAGAGAACCATTGAAAGACTTGCAAGTAGTGGCAAGATGTTTCGTCCTAGTTTGGGACTCTTCACAGTACGCACCTGCCGACATTATGACTCCGGACCTTCCTGATACGATGCAAGCTCGTAAACAACTCAGACTCTCAGAGCCGGTCCAATGGCCGTTACATGAATTCCAACTTCTGCCAATTCACAATATAACGTGACCACTATCCAGTGTCATCGGCCTTTATCTGCCCTCACACCCGACATGCTGTACCTCACTGATAGCTACTTCTCACCAGAACCCAGGTAAATACCTACAAGAAAATGGCTAGCAGTTAGTGAGATTAGGATTGATATTCAAGTTTTGGATTGCAGGGGTTTGATTTGATTGTTTGTAGGATTTCATCATGAGCTGGCATCGGTTAGAGAACCACTGGGAAACCTGAGAGTACTGCACAGTTTAATTTAAATATTACACTGACGAAAATAATGAAAACAACATAGAATTCAAAGCCTCTGTAGTACTACCATATATAGAAGGAACGTTAGAGGCCTTACATAGGATTCGCAATGAGACTGGAATGACGCAACGCATCACCTATACCGGAGATATGGAAAGTGGCAATAAACAACAAGGGGAAGTCGGAGATACAGAAAGATATTATTACCAGTCAAATGAGAGGATAATTAATAATGTTAAAATTTATTTCAATTCACATTATAACACTCTAACAAGTTAGTTATCTTACTAAAAAGGTTCTGTGAAGGAAGGTAAGGTTGGTCGGAGAGACGGACTTCCGATGCCTGGAGAGGATGAGCCTCTCCATGCCTTCATAACAGCTCCTACAGCTGAGTGCGTGGATAAAGCAGTAAAGAAAATAAATGAAATTATTAGACAGGGGATCGAAATCCCAGAAAGTCAGAATGATCTTCGCAGAGCCCAGTTGCGTGAGCTCGCTCTACTTAATGGAACTTTACGTGAGCATGAAGGATTGATGAAACTTCGCGCAATGGCTGAGGCGCAATCAATTGCCACCAATAAAATTCAGTGTGGTATATGTGGAGGTGCTGGACATTTGTCAACTGACTGTAAAGCGCTACTGGGTGGTCAGGCGTATCTCGATCAGCTGAATGCTAATCCATCTGAAAGGGCTAAAATGGACAGCGAATATACTGCATTGATGGCGGAACTTGGCGTGGGACCAGGTTCTCAAGGATTACCTCCAGGTATCAGAGGATTCGGAACTTTACAAACCCAACCAGCTCGTCCAGCTCGTCAACCTCCTCCTCCTGGTGTAGCACCTGACGATGACGACGATGGAGACACTGGGACCAATGGGACGACTGCCATAATATCATCCTCAGCTGCCTCAGTCACAGTTTCCTCTCCGAGTCGATATGCATTCACCCTACCACCACCTCCACCTCCTCCAGCTAATTATGCACCAGTGATAGCTCCTGTTGTTCCTTGGTCCGCTCCTGGTATCGTTGCACCACCACTCCCTGGATTTCCCTCTACTACTACATACCCTACAGGTGTCTCCTCAGCTACGGGATCATATGCCGAGGCAACAGTCGCTACTAATGGATCCTCAATGCATTCATGGCAACCTACAGCGTCATGGGGGGAGGCCGCACCGCATGTATCTCCAGTTGCACCCGTTCCTGGTTCAGCACTGGCTGCTCCATATTACCTGCAAACATTTTATCATTTTTAGTATCACAAACAAGTAACACTTATTCCTTAGTATTAAAGTCAGAAGCGATTTCTCATCTCAGAAACTGCTTTTCTTTTTGGAATAGCGAACATTTCCTCTCTAATATATGCTACAGACAAAAGTTTTCAAAATTCCTAAACAAATTTTCTAAACGAAATGCAAAGGAAGGTAAAGTGAATAAGAAAAACGACTTCAGTTAATTTTCAGAGCTGGACAGCGGCATTTAAATATCTGGCAGTATGAACTGAATTGTAACTGAAATGTAGCCAAGAGAATAATGAGTGAGGAAAACCTCACCGCTATAGGTGTAAAAACTGAAGACTACCACCAACCTAGTCTTCGGTGTAAGTACCGATTGTTCTTGATGACAGCAGTAGCACTGAGACATCTGTGTCGTTCAAACTTTATGCACCATGATAGAAAAGCTTTCCTGCAACGATATTTATATGCATTACATGACATATGAATTGCAGTGTTTGTCACCTGTATTTGTCAGGACATTCAGCAGTTAGTTAAAGGGAAATTCAGGTATATTTTTCGTCAAATCTTGATGAAAGTCCTACTGACTTATATTTCCGAAATGTGATCAGAAATAAATCTGTACTGAATAACAAAGAGGTATTCTATATGTGTATTTATAATTGTTAAAACCTAATCTTGAAGTGGATTTTATCGCTTTACTTATAACATTTAAGATAGAACAGTTGTTTATTACATTAAGTAGCCTAATCTGAGAACAAGTTGTTTTTGAGTACGCCACGAACATTTGAATCAAGAGTTCGAGAACCTGTTAGTCGCTAATCAAGCCTAACACACTTTGGCTAAAGGTACTTTCCAAACTCTTCATGTCATGCATTTTTTGACTTTTATTAAACATTAAGTCATATTTTAAACAACTGCAATGCTTAGGGGACTTTTAAGCAGAGTGCATTTGAGTTATAGTGACATCTTTCATGTTGATAAGATTTCCATATAAAAGTAGGAAGAGAAAAGTATCCAACCAGAATAGTCAAATTTTACTGATGTAAGTGTTGAACTTAAGTACTGTGGTAGAATGTAATTCCATATTGGATAAGTTTATTTTAAATAACACACAGTGATGCAGTACTAACAACTGGATGACGTTCCGAGCATAAATTATTGTCACACGGTTTCACAACTTGTCTTATATATGTTTTCTCTCTCTCTCCAACTTCCCCTTGTTGTTTGTTGCCACTTTCCATATCTCCGGTATAGGCGATGCGTTGTGTCATTCCGATCGCACTTGTGCGGCGATGAATCGACAAACAGAGCTTCAGTGATCAACACCATTCTCCACCTAACTATTTTGTTTTTTAATACTCTTACCCTGTTTCACCCTATTTTGCGATCACATGCAAGTGAATGCAGTGCAATGGCTGAGCATTTTTCTAAGTTATTTAACTTAGCAGACTTAATTATTCTAGGTTCAGCTAGATTTTTCTATGTTTCGATCATCTTATTGTCGCCGATCTAGTAGTCTGACCTACGTAATTGACCTTACAGTCATTACATGGTATTTGGTAAATTGTATTATTTTTCTTAATTGGATTTATTGGATCCTTAGGTCGACAAGTTTAATCTTTATGAGAGTTGGGTGGTTAGTTTAAATGCCACCCTAATTCCGGCGTCATTAAGAATCCTACGTAAGGCCTATGACGTTCCTTCTATATATGGCAGTACTACAGAGGCTTTTGAGTTTTATAATATTTTCGTCATTTATATTGTTAATCTACGTTTTTCTATGGTTCTTCTTATGTTTTTGGAATAAATAAATGTTTTTCATGCACTGCAAGATATTTATTCTATTTATGACTCAGTCCTTATCGAAGTTTTTATAAGTATAAATACGACAACAAGGTGTAGTCTACATAAGACTCGAAAAGTGAACACGAAGGAACAACAAAATATCTCCAAAATAGTTTTTTTTTCAACTATTATTTATTGGAGAAGTGACTTCATTAGGTAGAGAATATTTTACAGGAGACACCAAAAGAATGCCAACCTCTGTTTGTTCAGCTCATGTACTATCATCTCCCTCTGGTTATTTTCTTAAGCTGAGAAAACACCATGCCGTATAAATTTGTATAAAGCCTTTTTATCAGTTATTCTTGCATGTGACGATGGATTAGGTAGATGATTGGCTTAAGAACAAAAAATTATCAATACAAATAGAATTCTAAGCAAAAAGCATACATGTGTGTGGAAATAGATATTTTCACAAATCGTTCTTCATAAAATATCTTACCCAAATAATGTATGCTGCAAAAACTATAAAATTATTGTTTTACTCAAATTCACACCTGGCGATTTGCACCCTATTCCACTTACTCTTGCAGGTTCAAACACAGATGTATGTGTTTCAGGTCACTAATCTTCGCTGACCTAGTTTTTACTTATTCACTGAAGAGGGCGTTAATTAACAAGAATTATTTGCCTTTTGGTTATAGGCAGAATTGAATGTTTTGTGAATGTGGATGCCTTACTATTGATACATATAAATTCTGTAATCACTCATGCTAGCATTTATCTTGAGGAGTCTTATGAAAGAAACTTATTGAGACCTGTCATTAGTAGTTTTGAGTAAAAAAAAAATACTTTTTTCACCAGTAATCGTGCATTTACAGGCTAACACTGTTATTGAATATGTGACTTTTAGCATATGTTATTTTGTAAGTTTTTTGTAGTTTGGTTTGCCAGGGTTAATTATGTTTTTACGAGTTGATCACGGATTGATAGAGAACCATTGAAAGCCAGCGAAGAGTACTGGACAACTGTTTCATCCTAGTTTGGGAATCATCGGCAGTACGCAGCCACCACTGGGGTTCGAACCCAGGACCTTCCGGTTACAAGGCAAGCTCGTAAATCATTCAACCACTAAGACCCGGCTTAATGGCTCATGAATTCTAAATTCTACCAATTCGTGATTTAGCGCGACTAATTTAATACGTTTTCATTCAATTCACCTGTACAAGACTACGAAAGGAAAATTTGTTTGGAATTTTTTTTTCTGTGGTTGAAAACAAATTAAAGTAGGATAAATGAAATCTGTCGACCAAAACTGAAATTACTGACTATTTCGAAAATAATAACAAAATAGAAAACATCTTTCCTGGAATTCGTCTGAAATCTACCTGTCTTCGCCTCCGAATATCTTTCTCAAATAAAGCTTTTTCTAACATGTTGTAAACAATAAGGAGTGTTTTTGTTTGTCAGACATAAAAGTCCATTTCCACTAGTAATGATAGTATAAATATGGTAAAAAACAACTGCTTCCTGTTTTCGTAGAAGAAATAATTGTATGTTTCGGCCTTACATGGCTTGAAATTAAACGAATAATAACACTTTCAACTGTGAAAACCAGTAGTACAACTTTGAAATCTTTAGTGTCAGTGAATTCAACACTACTGTTAAGCCCCCAGACTTACTCAAATCAGTAGACATGAAGTAATAATCAGGAAATAAACCATCAGGAAGATTACGCTGTTTACCATGAATATACATGTAGGGAAATGGCAGGGAGTGCGATTCATCGACCATAAGATTGGGTCCAAGTGGATCAATGGTCGACGAGTTCCCCTTGTTACTAGAGGGACCTAGGCTGGAACCCCGTCCAGTGAGTGGTGATGAAGAGCCACAAACTAGGGTCAAACAGCTGTCCAGTACTCCCAGTGGTTCTCTAACTGATGCCAGCTGGTGATGAAGTCTGCAAGCTATCGCACCCTTGCATACCAAAACTTTAAAAAATACAAAAGACACTGAAACTATTTTGAATATTTTCCGATTGCAGTTTAGTGTTGAAGTTCGATTATAATCCATATTTTGTTCTCTCAGTCAATCATCAAATATCAGATAAAAAGAATCATTAATAATATGAATAGTCCTCGATTCTGAACTTACGTTCAGTGAAGTAGACAATGTTAAACCATGTGTCAGTACCAACAGTACAAAAGTACCAAAAATTTCATTTTCTAAGAAACAAAACCTTAAAGTGTGAAATAGTGTATCTATCCGACTTATATTCATAAGAACCAGATTGTTGCAGGAATCTAGATGGCCGAGTCCCAAATTTGTTCACAGGAACATGTACTACCATGAAAACCTCAAAACCTGTGAAATCAATAACCCAGATGGCACCTCAAAATACGAGATTTAATCATAGAAACTCTATTGTAGAACGATTCAGTAGTATGCACGACCAAACTACAATTTGAAATTAACTAATTTCCCATTCAAATTGAAATTCACGAATTCCAGTGTAGGTATAAATACGCCACCCTATTACATAAAAAATATGCACAAATTACAACAGCCGAAATACTCACCTCAAAACTCAGAGGATAGAAAATAGAACCGACGAAATATCAGTATCACAAAACGATCATCTGTGATATACATTAACCAAACATAACTCACTCATCACAAACAGAACGTCTTCAGAAGTGTAAGTATATATAATACGCAAAGATAACACACCAACAATGCTTGCGAAAACATCCAATTCAATCTAACACTGGAAAAGTAATCACCATCTCACTCCACTACACCATAACAATGCATAGTATCTCTTAGTATTTCATCGATTCAACAAACTTATATCGACCAACGTCATGCATCAGTGGATATTTCCACAAACACGATTTCCCAGCGAACAACAGATCTCTCAAGAGTCAACCTCCCAATGACCTCAAGATCCCAGTGATTAATTTTCCATCTACTTCACAACTGATTAATGGCTGTGATGTTTTTATATGTCACTGAAATCAGTTAATAGGGGTAGGAAAATGGGATAAGTGATTGTTTGTTATCTGGATTTCTACAGCTAAACGTTTGGTGTGTTTTCTTTATTTGTTTAAAGAAATTAGTGTAAACAAAGTTTTGATTTGGAGTGTAGATGAACAAGTTGATATTTTTCATCAAAGAAATGACAGCTATTGTAAATTTCTTCTTTATTCTTAATATTCGAAGTATATAGTAACCTA